TGAAAAAACACAGATTTCCTCTTAATAAGGATACACTTATTATTCCACAAAGAACAACTATGTGGCGAAAAGTTGTGTTTGTATATTAATTTCCAATATAATAATACCTGACTAAGGTCATGTTTGTTATAACAAACAACGAGTTTGGTCTCAATACGCCAAACCGTTGCGGCGATAAATGCCTTGTCCAAATACACACACTTGTGGTCTTTGCACCTGACCACTTGACTACTTATATGACGTATTTGGCCCAAGTGTTCAAGTGAGCATGAAGACCACAAGAGTGTGTACAACTTTTCATTACCTGATGGGACACACTTATAGTGTTGTAAAAACGCAAAGTGTTTACATAGTTTTATTATTGTTTTCAATACTTTGCATTTTAAAATCAACTTCTAAATGTCTATTCAGTAGTCCCTATAGATGACACAATTTAATTAAGTGATAAAAAGCAGTTGCAAATGTTGTACAAAAATAAATATACTAATCTTTGCAGCAATAAAATGTGTAGCACTTTGTTTTACCACCAAATTATATGTAATATCTTATTATTATTATTAATGTTTAACTTACATTGGAAAGGTTTCCATGACCTCTCACGCGATCTTGGCCAAAAGTCTCACAATCTATTTCCAGAACATGATGCATGATGGGATACACTAACATGTGGGTTTAGTGTGCGTTAAGGGCACTGCGCGTTTGTATTTTTAAGACCTGGGACAGTCTTGCACACAAGTGGCCAAGACCGCAAGTGTGGGTATTTGGACAAGGGGATAGCCTCACATCCATTTTTACGTGCTTTTTTATAGAATTCTTTTGTGCGTTATTCGAGAACGGTTGGATGAATCAACTTGAATACCATAACTTTTTGCCAGCATGGTCTGAAGATGATCTGAGCCAATTTTGGTGAGAATCAGACAAACCGTCTAGGACGAGTTCGAAAAAGTAAGTTTTACGAACAATTAAAAATAGCTAAAAAACTAAACCTTGCAACTTTTGAATTTTGGTGTTCATTCGACTCGGCATGAGCCAAGGATTCCGAGGAAAATGTTCCTTTTGTGTCTTATGGTTCAAAGGTTATTAGCATAAACATGAGTGAAACTTTGGACAAGTGGTGGCGCTAGAGAGTTTGATTTAGAGACTCCAAATTTGCTTTGGTTAATGTTGGGACTGTCTTCTATCAGTGTGCCAAATTCCACAACTTTCCCGCAAGCGGTTCTATGGGCTGCCATAGACTCAATAGCGGAAGAAGAATAACACCAACGGATACAATAGGTGCCTATGCGCCTTCGGTGCTTGGCCCCTAAAAACAATAGTCTATGCAAGGTCTAGGCCCATGTCCCCATTTAGATAGCTATATACGTAAACATGTAGTTTTTTTTTTTTTGCTTGCTCCAACATAACATTGAGACAATTTATCTGCACATAAACACATTTATAATCTTTTTAAAATAAAAGTTGTTTTAAAATGTACAACCTACACTGTGCAATTAATGTCAAGTACAAAGAGTGCTATACTGTTACAACTGCCATGGTGGATTAAAACAATAGAAAACAGGGACATTTTAAGCATTTTAATTTAACAAAAATAGGAAAATTTAAAGCAAATCAGCAAATACATTTGGGAACAAACACATGCTAGCAACTGTAAAAAAAAACAGACGTGCGTTGAGTGTGTAAGGCATTGTCCTCAATATGTCTGGGTCCAGTAGAAGTGCATTGGAAAGTGTTACAACTCTTCCTGTCTGGTCAGATATAAAATTTAGATTTTAAACATTTAAATGAAAAAGCTTGTTTGTATTTCAAATTAAACAAGATAACCTGCTTATTCAGATGACATGAACATAACAATAATTCATCAATCTAAATTTATAAAGAAGACGCAAAAACAATAGAAAACAGGGACATTTTAAGCATTTTAATTTAACAAAAATAGGAAAATTTAAAGCAAATCAGCAAATACATTTGGGAACAAACACATGCTAACAACTGTAAAAAAAAAACAGACGTGCGTTGAGTGTGTAAGGCATTGTCCTCAATATGTCTGGGTCCAGTAGAAGTGCATTGGAAAGTGTTACAACTCTTCCTGTCTGGTCAGATATAAAATTTAGATTTTAAACATTTAAATGAAAAAGCTTGTTTGTATTTCAAATTAAACAAGATAACCTGCTTATTCAGATGACATGAACATAACAATAATTCATCAATCTAAATTTATAAAGAAGACGCAAACATCTTGATGCTTTTTGTCTTGTAAATCGTCTATATTTTTATGGAGTCTTACGATTTGTACTTCCACCTCACTGGATTGGTGCTCATGTATATGATGCTGATTTCACCCCTGTAGGTGATTTCTAATTGCAAACTAATGGTGTTACAACTTACCCCGTGTTACAGCAGTCCAGGTCTCTCCTACAATATTAACTCGATATCCGACTCTTCTTTCTCCACAGGCTTATCCAGATATGAACACTGTGTTTTTGTTCGATTTAGATTGCTGGAAATCTAATACAGAGGTTGTTTATTGCTTACAGTAAATGTTTATTGAATAGCATATACGATGGATAGTTGTTCAGTTTTTTTTTATTTTATAAAATATTATAAATGAATGTTCTGTTGATATCGTCAGATTGTTCCTTCCCTTCTTTTTTGTTGATTTAATGGATGCAAGTCAATTCCGCCATAATAAATGATATGTAGGCTACTGGTGGGAAGGAGTTTAATTATGTAACAAAATGGAGAAAAGTTTACGCGCCTCTGTTAAACTGTATTTTTTCCGCTTAAAGGCAAAAAACGGGGGTCAAAATAGTTAATGTAGGCTACATAGGCTACACATAATTTATTCCTAACTTATTCAACGCACTTAACGATTGCCAGCAATATATTGAGGGAAGACGATATTGAGAAAATACTTCTCAATCTCTAAAATGATCTGCTCGTCTTCTGTATACGCGCCAGAAAACAGAATGAGAATTTTATTTCTAAATAGAATATTCAACTTCGATTAAGTTAAATGTTGATTGAAAGTTATCCAAGTAAAAGCAGGCCGATCATAAACTATATCACATTTGAAGCATAGCCTACGACATATAAACGTTCGAGTTCACCTTGCTCACAGAGAACACGACATTATCACCAGTTTACCCTTCATTTATAAAGGTTTGACGTTTAACGAACGATACGCTAACGAAATCAAGAGTGAAAACGCTTCCAGTATTTTTGTGATTCTTGAGCAGCGGAGGAAAAACACCCATTAAAAAGAATTTCACTTGAAAATTAAATCTTGTCTGATTTGGCACGGAGACATCCATCTTAACTTGAGAGGTGTGCGTGAATCCTTCTTTTATGGCTTAATGTAATTTAACCAGTGTTTTACATCAGGTAGGCTATATTTCTCATCAGCTGTCAAGGTGCTGAATGAGTATTCCAGCTCAGACAGAAATGAACCCTCAATTTTGGCTCAAAAGAATGTTTTACTTTATATGTTAACTATTTTGATAATCTTTTAAATGATACAACTTATGTATGCTTCACATATAATCTTAGTAAATGGAAACAATCATTGACAGAATGTCTGCCAATCAAGCAAATCCTATTGACCAAATTATATCAAATCGTGTGATCTCCTTCCCACAGATTAAAAACACAAACACATCACCTTAAGCACACTGCTCTGACTCGTTCCAGAGCAGCACATATGTTTTTTTTGTGACTTCTGCATGGATGAGAGAGGTGCTTATTATGTGCTGTCCAAAACATCACCTTAAGCACACTGCTCTGACTCGTTCCAGAGCAGCACATATGTTTTTTTTTGTGACTTCTGCATGGATGAGAGAGGTGCTTATTATGTGCTGTCCAAGGTGCTGACAGTAGCGCCAGAACTATGAGCTGTCAAGCTGTCTTGCAGTAGGTGGTTACAAAATAGCCTGTGGCCACTACATGTGAAGCTGTGTTGACATCCACCTCCTATTACAGTACATTTCTATAAGGCGTATAACTAAAAATGGCTTTTTCAGTGACAACCATTCACTCAATGCTTTAATGTCGTTTATTTGCGCAGTTTGAAAAGTTTGTTTCATACAATCACATAATCAGACAAATGATAAACTGACCATAATTCTTGTATTAAACTCCATACATACAGTAGCCATACAAAATATCTGGATTAAGCACAATTTCACTGCTCTGACTCGTTCCAGAGCAGCACATATGTTTTTTTTTGTGACTTCTGCATGGATGAGAGAGGTGCTTATTATGTGCTGTCCAAGGTGCTGACAGTAGCGCCAGAACTATGAGCTGTCAAGCTGTCTTGCAGTAGGTGGTTACAAAATAGCCTGTGGCCACTACATGTGAAGCTGTGTTGACATCCACCTCCTATTACAGTACATTTCTATACGGCGTATAACTAAAAATGGCTTTTTCAGTGCCAACAACCATTCACTCAATGCTTTAATGTCGTTTATTTGCGCAGTTTGAAAAGTTTGTTTCATACAATCACATAATCAGACAAATGATAAACTGACCATAATTCTTGTATTAAACTCCATACATACAGTAGCCATACAAAATATCTGGATTAAGCACAATTTCCTGCAAATCCATTGAAACTGGAACATTTTATAAATACAATAACATAAAACATGAATGCCTAACATGAACGTTCATATGCTTTAATGCAAGAGAAAGAAGCATTAAAAGTCCATTTAAAATAGGGAATGCAAAATCCCAGACATTGACATTTCTATCGATAACATCAACTCTCACTGTAAACTTTTTACACATTAAGCCACATTATTCTCTTCAGTTTATATAGCACTAATAATCCACACGCCCATCCAGTATTAGTGATTGTCTGAAGACTGAAAGGTTTTAAGACACCCGGTTAAATCAATTAGTGCACATTTTAAACCATCCCTCATCTGCTTGTTTAATTTCCACAGCGAACCATCTGGAAGAGATGCTGGACACTGGATTCCTGAGGTGATGTGATTGACCATTTGAGTCAAACATAGCAGGATGGCCTCGGTTTCTCCAGTAGCTGATGACGACGATGGGGATTTTTCAGTTTCATTGCCAGGAGCCTGGTTAGAGAGAAAAAGAAAATAATATGACATGGCTTATTATGACATAAATGTCAAAAAGACAACATTAACAACAATGTGCAAAATCAAAACAAAATCTGCACTAATGTTAGTAAGTGTAGTGCTGTTCAAAATAGTGGAAATTAAAAACCGTATTAATGTTAACATTAGAAATAGACCCAAAGATCTGGAGTTGCATGGTCACAAGAGATGTCTGATTTTTCAACGAAGCCTCTGAAGTCGTTTTCTACATTTCTGAAAGGAAAATAAAAATACTTCCAAAACTAATCCAGTGTACTGACGTTTTTGATGTCTTGACTGTCTCTTCAATATCAACTTGAATATATCTGATTGACCGAAATGCAAATGACAGCCCTGCTGTCTTCTGTACTCCATTCCAGATAAATCTAGTCATCTTCTATGAGAAAACGGTTTAGAATGATCAATCAGTCCTGCTACAAATATGGTAAACTGAAACAATGTTATGCAAACACACCATCATCAGCTGTATTTTGTTCTTGTTTCACCCCAAATAATAGGAAGTGGATTTATGTATTTGCAACACTGCTAATAATCTAAATGTTGTAGATTTTAGAAAGGTTGGAGTCCATTTTGGTGGCTTTTCCAATAGCTCATTTTAATGAGAACAATCAAACATCTAAATTGCAGTTTGGGGTAATGCTGTGCTGTCCTTTGTGTATGTGTGTGTTATTTGACAATTTTACAACATCATGTTCATTCAGCTTAGTGGTCATTATAGTTTTAAAGAGGATGACATTTCGAGAACATTTTCAGTATTTTTATATTGCTCCAAATAATGCAGTCGGTAAAACAAATTTGGTTATTTAGCAAAGGGTAATGCATACAACTTCACAACACTTGAACATGCATTGACCGTATTTGTTTATAATCCCTCATTCTTCATTTGCTTCCAAAAGTGGTGCGAATCATTTCTATACCTCGTCACCCTTAGAATTTGTGTACGATGTGTACCAACGCCATTACCAGTTTTCCCAAATTATATGTAGAGAGGTTTATGGACAATTTAATCCCTGCAGGAGACTTGGCAAGACCCTTTTCTCTGTCAATTTTCACCCGCTGCTTCATTCAAACCCCCTCTCTCTTTCTGCACCTCTACAATGTGGGGTTTCTTTTGGTCTCTTTTTTTATATTCCCGCATATTTTTTTTTCCTCAAGCTCCCACCACCTCTCCAAAAACCCTCAGACAGCATGCAGCTTATGCAAATCACTGGCCTTTTATTCTCAATTCTCACCCTCAGCCTTGAATGAGACCTCAAGAAAACACACACACACACATAGCTCCACTATGTTGATTATACTAGAATCAATCATATTAAAAAGTTCTTAATATTGTTTCAACAGTCCACCAACTGCAAAGAACTACACTCTTAAAAATGAATGTTTCAAAAGGGGGTTTTCACAGCGATGCCACAAGAGAACCATTTTTGGTTCCCCAAAGAACCTTTCAGGGAACAGTTATTAATATAACCATTTTAAAAATCTTTTTCTCCTACAAAGAACCTTTTGTGGAATGGAAATGGAAATGGAACCTTCGATGCCAAAAAAGAACATTCTTAAAAATAAATGTTCCAAAAGGGAGTTTTAGCAGTGATGCTTTAGAAGAACCAATGTGGGTTCCTCGAAGAACCAATCTTAGTAACCTTTTTTTCACTACAACCTTTTGTGGAACGGAAATTTTACAGTCATCATGGAAGCACTGATGCCAATAAAGAACATTCTTAAAAAAAAAAAAAATTTCATAGTGTGAAGAACATTTTAATAACTTTTTTTGCAATTGAAAGGATCTATGGATGTGAAAGGTTCTTAATGGAACCATCAATGCCAATAAAGAACCCTTTTTAAAGTGTGTACACTGAGGGGGAAAAAAGGTATAAAAACAGTTTTCACTCAGAAATTGATGGTTAATTTCACAAACAATTACAAAGAAAGAAAGTAACACACCGAACTGAATGTTCAATTTTGAAGTACAAAAACTGAAATTCCTGTAAAACGTAGGCCAACAATCTTTGTTTTATTCACAACGTTTGGAAAATAATTTTTGGTGTACATTAAACTAAGAGAGCGTAGTGTATTCACGCCGTAAAACCTAAAAGCCTGCGATCATCTACCAAGAGTCACAAATATTGTTCCTAGATGAGAAGTTGCAATGAGAAGGATTATGGGATGGAAGTAGACTAGACATTTTAGGAAGGAGCGGGGCTGTTTACCAAAGTCACTGCGACAAGAGGGGGGTGGGATGGGGGGGGGGGCTGATGAATATAAAGTGCTTGCTGCCATTCCCAGGGTCTAGAACACACACACAGGCTGTATATATAAGAGTGTGTGTATACGGAGGGGTGAGCCAACCAGCCTGACTTCCCTCAGACACTTTGACAGGCGGGCCTTTTCTCCAGTGCATTGCTGGGCCAGCCAGCTCTCGCTCCCTTAGCAACGGCACACAGTGGAGAGCCCCCTCCAGCCCGCCACCAAAACCACAGGGATGGGGGGACGGGGCAGATAGGGTGTGGGTTACAAGGGGTGAGCTGGTCCACAGGGGTGGATGAAGAAGTTCCCAGTCTGGCTGGGACTCCCACAGGCAATGAACTTGAACTTGACTCTGATAGCATTAATGAGGATCGCACGTCCTTATACAATATTTGCATATGCACTGGAGAGAGTGATTATAGCACTAAAACTAAAAACATGAAAAGGATGTTCATTATTTGAACTAAAACAAACATTAACTTAAATACAAAAAAAAAAAACATTTTCAGTTAATGTTAGTTTTTTTTTTCAAGTAATGAAAATGTTTTTATGGTTTTAGTTTTAGTTAATAATAAACATAATATTAACAATAATAATCCTGAATTGGAGCAGGGTTATTGTTAATATTATCGTGTTTTATCAAAATAATTGTCTTATATTATCTTGTTTTAATTCAGTTGGTTGCCAACATTTCTCATTGTCATTTAATTTAAATTTAAGCACTAAAATAAACTAAAACTTAAAATTTATACAGACATATAAATAAACTAACAAAAATGACAACAAAATTACTTTAACGAAAAATAAAACGAGAACAGATGTAACAAAAATGGGGGCGGGGGGGAAGACACACTTTCCACGAGATAGTATCTGAAATGAAGGGTAATTTCACTCAAAAATGTACATTCTGTCATCATTTACTCACCCTCATGAACACAAAAACATTAAAAAGATTAAAAATGGCATTTGTCCATACACTGAAAGTCAAAGAGGTCCAATGTTGTTTGGACCACAACATTTTTCTAAGTAAACAATGGCAAACTTTTCTATTTTTTCCCCCTTTGGTGAACTATCCATTTAAGAGCAAAGATAAAAAAATATGATCTTTCAACAATATATATTTCCTTTCTATTTAAATTTTAAAAGTGAAGGTAATTCTCCTCATTAGGATGTAAAGTGGGCAAAAAGCAAAGCTAAGCTACAAAGTGAGGATAATTATATCTCAAGGTCTTTTATAATGGTGGGGCCATGATGGAGGTTTAAGTGTTCCCTGGTTTCCACTCCTGTTTTTGAATTCCCAGTCCTGCCCTCTGCTCTCGCATCCTCCAGGATACAGTTACTGATGTTCCTGTGAGTGCTTAAAGGATTTGCAGGAAAGTCACAGCTTCTCTTTTATTTCATTGCTTTATTACAACTTACATCGGCTGAACTTTGCAACGCAACTCAAGTCAGGTCACTCCAAACTCATCTTTAGCACTCTGCATTGTTATCAACAAAAGAAAAGTCTTTCAAAGAACTGGTTTCCAAAGTGACCTAATTTTTTTCAAGGTTATGCCCACAATACAACACAATACAGAAATTATGATTTTAATGGCATAGACCTGAATAATAAGGAACAGCACATCATCTAAACTGATTTGAAGCTTTTTAAATGCTTAGAATTAGTCTAAAAGCCCACTTAAAGACACAGTTCACCCAAAAATGAAATTTGTCATCATTTATTCACCCTCATGTTGTTCCAAACCTGTATGACTTTTTCTTCTGTTGAACACACGCGGACAAAAAATATATTTTGAAAGACGATCTTACTTTCTTTTGCGTCCCACATTAAAAAGACAGTAATACAGCGACATGAGGGTGAGTAAATGCTGACAGAACTTGTATTTTAGGGTGAACTGTCCCTTTAAGGTACAATACTCGCTTTCATCCATCTCTCAAATTCATGCTCTGGATTAAGGTGCCGTATAGTTCTGTGATCCTAACATCTCTATTGTGGCTCTGGATTACCTGCATTTAATAGTTCAGTTTCGATCTACCACTCTGCTGACTGTGGTTCTTTTTGCTGCCTGTTATTCCAGCTCGGGAATCCCAATCCCAGGCTTTTCATGGCCACTCATCCAAGGTGGGGGAGAAAAAGGTGGGGGAAACCATTTCAAAGCTCCCCCGTAGCTGATACAAAGCTGAGAACAACCCTTCATGGGATAATCGCGTTTATCCTGAGATTAAGACGAGATCGACAGCTGAGGTATCCAAGGGGAATTTTACCGTAAACCACACAATGGCCTTTAACATGAACCCAAGAGTTGCTTCTGAGTCATTTCTCACCACTGTTCATTTCTCAGTTATGATCAGCGATGAAAACGATTCGTAACTCGTCTACCCTTGTTAAGTGTCTTCATTAACACTATCCATTCTCAACTCGTCCTCGAGAGATGTCTTCAGTAAAGCATGCATTAAAATGACTTCTCTATGAGATATAAATATATATACACAAGTGTGAAGTTTCTCAGAAAGCAATAGCAGCTTCCATTCTCCAGCAGTCATATATGTTTCCAAATCTAATCTGGCACTAAGTTTTTATCACAAGAGCATGAAATGAAATCTCACAGGCTTTTAGAAATAAATATGTTAGGCCCTATAACACTGGACATAAAGATGACATATGATGGGGAGAAAACTGTTAGTATGCCAGACAAATATTCCCAGATAGCCACCTCCCATAGGCCTTTGATATTAACATGCCAGCTGCAGCAACTGCCACATGGGGCCACAGACTGAGCCAGACAGTAAAAGCCCTCCCCCACCTCCTCTATTCTCCGCCAAACACACGTTTCCACGATATTTCATTGTTCATCAGTGTATTTATTAATGTCAATTGTTTATCTCACCCTATCTTTTTATGCCGCGTTGCTGTCGAGAGCAGAAAACCTCAGTTGGTGACAGGGTCCTCGATGGCTTTTTATGCAAGTCCTCGAACTCTCATGCAACACTTTTTTTTCTCCACCTCACTGCATCCATCTGCTTTTTTCCTATTTTATTTAGCATAAATAATTCCTCCTTTCTTTGTGATTCCTTTTGCTTTGCTGTGAAATACTGCCGCTGTCCCAGTGCAAACTTTCTCTGTGGTTTTCTGTATCACTGCCTCTATTTTACTGCGTAATATATTGTAATGGAGCTTTAATTAATTGCTTGCCCAACTGCTGTGCCCTGTGGGGGAGCGGAACAAACTGTCCTTCAAATTCAACTCGATTTTACATGCAAAATGCATTAATATATACACAGAACTTTATGATTCCTAAATACTTTGCAATGCACATCATGCATGATATCAAATATATTACATTTATGCATTTAGCAGATGCTTGCAAAAGCAATTCGTTAAAGAGCCAACAATAATTGCAATACAAATGAATAATTAAACTGCACACACTAAGACAAAAGATGCTGAAAAATGCTGCACTTTAGAATACACACTCACACTAATCAATTAGCCCTGACCTTTAACGACTTAAACTCGATAACAACTGGCACTGCAAAAATACGTCACAGAGAGGAGTGCATCTACTGCGCGAGCACACATGATTGTGCAAACGCTCATGCATATGATGCTGCTAACAACACACTCTCAACGCAGCCAGAGAAATAAAGCCCAATCCTCAGCCGTTCCCTGAGGATAGTCTCTTAGGGTTTTGGTGCTAATTTAGGCATCTGGCTCTGTCTGGGCCTGAGCATCTTTTTCAGCTTATTACCCTCCACTGTCTCTGGCACTCCATCCGTACAGACAATGGTGGGAAACAGGGGGGACCGCGGACCCACGTCAAGTACTCGCCGTACAATGCTGCCATTGTAGAAGAGGAGAGGGGTCTGGAATAATAATGTGGGCACTATCAAACTGTTTACCAACACAGAGCCTACAGCTGACGATTTGCTCCTTATTTATTACAAATCATCATTTGTGGTATTGCTATTGATGCTTGCATATGTGTAAGGAGAAGTTGTGTACAAAAACACTCTGAAACTGATTGACTTTCTTGCACACAGACACTAAAACACATTTTTCCATCATACACACAGATGCAAATGACCTTGTGTTGAAGTGATTATTGTGCCAGACACCTTGGGAGACATTTCAAGGAATTGCCCTTTGCAGTCCATGAAAATATATAATCACAGTCATGCCCAAAATCTACATATGCCACTCCATAAAGCACATTATGTTGGACTGCTACCAGAGAGAAAGCTATAGACAGTCATTTGAAAAAATTTGTAAAAACTTTGAATTATTAGATTTTATTTCAAATAATTCCATTCATGCATATACGCTTGTATGAATTTAGACTGGAGTTATTTCACAGCACTACAGTACATTATTCTCTAGTTTCTGTGCTTGCTTTATGCAAAAAGAAAAAAAATCATTTTTCAGACTCAAATACTCATGTGCGCATTCTGTTTGACTGAAAACACAAAGAACTGGTAAACCACAAAAACAATACACAGTTCAGCGCATGATTTGCATATTGAAAACTGGAAAAATCTGGTATGGGTTTGGCACCGTGCCAAGCGGCATAATTAACACTTTTCAGCCACCGCTCTGCAGCAGTCACATTATGCTCTGACAAGCATCCACTCCCCCTGCTCGACCGCTTATACTCACACACACACACAACACGAACACACAAATGTGAACATTTATTCTTGCTTCTATACGTTTGTAAATGCTGTTAACATTTGCTGTTAAACCATCTACGGTTGTGCTACCATTATGCGCCATTTGGGCAAATGCAGTGTTGTTGTGTAACAGTATTGCATTAGACTCTCTGTTCAAGGGTATATAATGAGTTTTGTGTCCCTATGTGAGATATTTAAGCACTGAAGGTCTTTTACATAAAATCCTGAGAGATGCAGAGGGAGGAAACCCCTCCCCCTCACAGCAAGATACACAGCCTAATTAGAAATTCTCTATTAAAGGTACAGTGTCTCATTTCCAGGCTACTATTTTGTCCAAGCATGAGTTTAAAATGTATGCTGAGTGTTTGGGTTGTAAATCTTCAGTTTTGTATCATCTCGAAAAATCTGTCTTATTTTCTCCATGTAGATGGAGAAACCATTTCCATATATTAATAATATAACATCAATTGAGACAAATGTGGTGTGTTAAATCTTAAATCTGAAGCTTTGTGTTGTAGCATAATCTTTTTTTAATATATATTACAGGCTCAAAAAATTTCCTAAATTATTCAGCCTTTGGCTATTTCCTTTAAAAATATGAACATGGATTGTTCTTGTCTTTCATATGCAAAACTGAGTAAGCAAATGCTCCTGCTTAATAAAGATTGCAAAAATAATATTTTGGATTCAGAATGGACACATTTTTGCATTGTACATTTGTGTGTGTGTATCTCTGGAAATTTCTAGAATGCATGTAGAATTATCTGCAAGGGAAAAAAAGGCAGACAGAACACAAGCACAACAGTAACATCAGTCTTTTTTTGCTTTGAAATTCAAAAATCGGAATTCAAATTTAAACGTAAACATTCAAAATATAGAACGCTGCCACGTGCCGTTGCTAAAGTGCCACTGTGCCTTTAATTGGGTGCTCAGTCCTCTCTGCTTGTTCCTATGCAATTATGTTAATATGCAGAGCTTGTCTGGTCTTTTTCATTAACAGAGGCGCTTGCATCATTGTTTCCTTTATTTGTAAGCTCCACGGGCACCTTCCGTACATCAGTGATCTTTTTTACACATCTTTTTGATGGGCTTTTCTGCCAAGCCTCCTCTTTTAGGATAAAATGTCAGTCTTTTTTTTTTTTATAAAAAAGCTCATTTATGGACAACGAGGTCTTTTAGGCACACAGGGTTTCCATGCTCAGTAAGTATGCAAAAACGGTTTTCTGTTATTACGAGGAGGATTCAGTGGCTTTAAATATTCAGCAGATGCATCATTTGTCTCATCTTTGCATTTCAATACGTTTCGATGTATTTACGCTCTATTCGTTTGTGTTGTTTTGGTTACAGCACGAAAGCAAAGCAAATTTGTCATCCTAGAGCAAATATGTTTCAGAATGCCTGTGTTCCACCTATCGTAATCATTTTCTGCAATGAACACACAGCACAGCTTTGCATATCACCAGCAATCCATTATGACGCAACCAGTCACCTTTGTGAAGTGCATTTCAGTGTCTTCCATCCATTTCAATGACATAACACGCAGCTCTCTGCAACCAGGCGGCCTGCGTACATATCCGTTTACCACGTAACATCCTATGTGATGTTTTGCACCTCTCGCCTCTTGACCGGCTAATGATACAAACTGTGGCTATTTTAAAAGACACCAAACATCATTAAAAGCACGCCACAGTGCGAGAGCCTGCAGACCTCTTTTCTAACATTAAAGTTGGGCAGGGCAGCATGCGTGCTTTTGTAAGCTGGTGAGGGGCACTTGGCACCTTTGTGCCAGCAATTTGATGTATCATTAATCAGCAGAAACAAAAGTGCTCTTCAGTCCAGGTTGACTCTGTTGCTTTGGTCAAGAGGATGCCGTATGTCAATTAACTTAGTCTCTCGAGTGAGTTCAAGCAGCTCTCGCTTTTTGGTTTCATCTGAAAATCTGCTATGGTCATTTTGGTGTCGTCGCTGAACCGAGGGTTTCGTCGCACGGTTTCGTCCTGTACACACACATAACACAACCTCCAGTCAAGAGCACGAATTAATAGCTGCTTTCATTGAAAATACATATACAGCAGCAGGAGGGATTCATTTGTGCTCAAAGCTCGCCACAAATCAGAAAGTCTTTGTGCATATCTCAGTGCGCGCATTTAGATAACAGGGATATCTTCTAATTAGTCAGGAAAGATGAGAGCATGATAGCTCTTTTTAAAGAAAACGATTTGGGCCTAATCTCACGCCGCCAAAAAAGCACTTTCTAATAGGCATTCGCCCGATTCGTTTGCTTTACGTTTCGAACGACCTGGCAAACCCACCGGTGGAGCTAAAAGCAGTGGCAATAACGCGGCAGCTAGTCCGATATAGGCATTGATGCAGCTTACCTCATGCCAACACAGCCATTTTAGGGAGCAGCAGCCAGCTTCTCCATCAAGATGGCTTCCTGAAAGCACACCCCTCATTCAGACTTGCAGTCTTCCAGCATCTGGTGGTCCGTGGCAACTGGCAGCCTCTTTGTCCCCATTGGCACTTGGGATGTAGAGTCTCACTCCTTTCTTTTTTTCCTCTTTTCTCTGGGGGCACAGATGGCACTAAATGCTTCCGTTGACGAAGAAGGGAGGGGAGCTGGTAGAAGAAGGATGAGGGTTGCCTATTATTTTTCTTTTCTTTCATTTGGACAATTGCACCATTTTTTCCTCTCTCCCTCTTGCTCCAAAAAGCCAGTGTAAATGGCTGGCAGTTGCTAAGGGGAAACACGAAAATAAAGGACAAAAAGCCCCTTTTATCACTGCCAAAGCAGATGTCATGGCAACTGCTATATATTATTTCTTTGGATAATATAAACGGTATCAGGCGACCATCATTTCTTGTTCGTGTCATGCTAAGTAACTGCACGTTCAGACAATCCTGGTATTAGTAATGTCAATAGTTGTGCGTTAGCTCAACACGAATGGTGTGAAGGCACGAACGTCCTGCTTTTGCGTTCTCGATTGGTCACTGTGAAGGTATACTGAATTGGCCCACATCAATTACTGTCCACCCATAATTTCATTGAATAACCCTTATTCAATTGTGCTAGGTAACCAGTTTAGCTGGAAAAGATCATTGTTAATGAACGATGACAGAATTTCTTTGCTCACATTAATTTTACATAAAGTAATATGCAATGTGATAGTGGCCCATACATTCTTATCATTATCGAGATGGAGACGGACATATAATTTCCTCTCTCCGATCATTTATCGCATTGAAGCCTTTGGCCTAATGTCCTGCAGTCATACTAACCACGGATTCTCAGGCATGTTGAAATATATTGTGATTTAGATTTATTTTCCTTCTTTTTACACAGGTCAGGCCTGATGCTTTGAGGGATATTTCTTGAGATAATTATGCTGTTTTATGTTTAACAGCCATAGCGAGTCCTTTTCTTATTCATTTGCTAATATTGTGTGTCAAATTGCACGTCTGCCTGATATGATTTGAATTCTCAAATAAACATACGCCACACATCTTAACACAAAATGTATCTATAGAAAAATTAAGAAAAGGTTTTTGATTATGATTTTCACTTTAAAGAGCTTGTTGGTGTCTGGTACAAATGTGAAACTTTAATTAGTGTCTTTAAAGGTTGAATATCTACAAGCATTTATAACATGCAATTTGTCAAAAATAAAATGCATGAGGATCGTATAGGCTGGATGAGTGTAAATTTGTGAGGAATAAACTCTAATGCACACATACGCAAAAACAGGAAAACATTCTCACAGATCTAGGTCACGTAACCACAAATAGAATGCTTTTTATGAATATGCATGTATATGGTGAGAGAAGGAGAGAAACAGATATATAGGATTTCTGATGAAAGATTCATGTCATGCATATAGTGTCTTGGACTTGATTGGGGATTTCTCTTGAATTTGGTTCCTTTGAAGTGCATGCATTCATTAGCATATACTTTATGATTTACTGTGTGTTTGAATCAGATTAACTCTACAACTAATTGTTCTAATTACAATGTTGCATTGTAATACGCCTTGATTGCACTTACCAGATGGTGTTTTCTCCCTTAGCTCCAGTCCTCTGGTCTCTCACAAAGACACTGCAGTTTGAGAGGCTACAGTGGTGAAGTAATAAAAGACGATCATCAGAATATTTTAGATTTACATTTAAATTATTGATATAAATTCACAAACGCATAAATGACAGCCAGATATTGAACACGGAGTTAAAAAGCTCAAGCAAGGCCTAATTTGCATCTTCAATCATATTTGGCATTTCAAACATTTTTTTTTAAAGTGGCAAATATAGAGGATATAAAATCTGCTCAGTCAGCTCATGAAACTTATTCTTTTTTGTTCTCTATCATCTCTTTGTTAGTTGCTTTTTTTCTCTTCAAGTTGAAATTATCAATCATTTCCTCTTCTCTTCATTTAGTTTAATTGGCACCCTAAGTGTAGACACCTTTCTTTCTCTGTCTGAAAATAAAAGTATGCATTTAGTATATGCATTTATTATTTACATACAGCAGTAAAACAAAGATTAATATGTCAGGCAATCTATTGAGTACGATTAAATTGGCCTAAATTTGAAGCACATGTCATTCGATTTTTTTTTCGAGATTGATAATAAATATCTTAATTTAATATAACCATAAATGAAGGATAAAGCATTTTTAATACGGGATTTGCTGAAAAGCATCGTAACACACAGGCTAGAGTGTGTGTGTGTGTACAGTAAACAGGTGTGTGTGTGTGTGCATGTTTATCTGGTTTATGAGGACACAAATTTGTATAATAACATGGGTATGACATAGGTATTACAACGAGAAGGTGATTTATGAGGACATTTTCAGTGTCCCCGTAATTCAAAAGGCTTATAAATAATTCAGAATGAGTTTTTTTGAAACTCTAAAAAAGCAGAAAGTTTCTTGTGAGGGGTATGTTTAGGGGTAGGGTTGGTGTAGTGCAATAGAAAATACAGTTTGTACAGTATAAAAACCATTACGCCTATGGAGTGTGTGTGTGTTTCTCGTGACCTGAAGCTCCAAAAGCGCTTACACCTCTAATGATTTTGAACTCTAAACATAAACATAATATTTACATCGTTTTCAGTAATTTTACAGTAGTATAAGGGTGATGTATCACAATTACGTATTGTCATAAAAAAGCCACAGGGATGAAAAAATGCCTTCATTCCGCCTCATGTCTTCATCTTTGATGTGTACAACCAGATTAATACGGCCAATCATAATGAAGCTGCTTCAGCATGATGTCATTGCCTAATAGTTGTCTCTGTGAGTGGGTCAATGACGTCACGTTCATTTTTTGATGCATTAAAATGCAGTTTTAAAAAAATCTTAAATAGGCCTATACGCATCTTTTATAATTTACATTTTTTCAAGTTTTTAATCTATTACTAGGCCTATATTCTGTGGGGCTCAATGTAGCCTAACTGTCTAGAGACCGTAAAAAAAAAGAAATTCTCACTAAAAGTCTTAAAGTTAAGATTTCAAGATTATATAGTAGGCTAATAACTCTTAATATTTTAAAACCTTTTCTACTAAATCATCACCAACACGAAGCAATCCGTTTTGTGGACATGTGACAAAAACGATTTCACATTTTCATCATCTCAGACATCCTTATTTGTCATCGTGTGAGTGTTAGGAGGAGGGATACTTTCAACACACTATTTAAGCGTTCATTTGTTTATTAGTTTAACCTCATTTAACCTCGATTAGTGATCGACTAGTTGTAAAATGCCCATGGTCTCCCTTCTAGATCAAACCAAGATCGATTCAAGCGCATTAAACGCAGGCCTCATTTTGCGCGTCAGATGCTGAATAAACGCAGGCGTAACAGCAGCAGTGGGTTTGCCTGGGTGAGGAAAAGATAGTTTGAAGTTTGAAGTAGGCAGAGTTTGGGAACTAGCTAGGAAGTTTATTCATTTATCCAACGCAAAGTTAACAATGCGCATCCTTGACAAAGCTTTTGCGCGAAAATTAAAATACAAAATAGATTACTCGATTGTGATTTATAGCCTAAATAACAGTAAAAGTTTGCTGTTGTTTTTTTCTCCGTTTCAATCTTCTCGTTAAAATATTTGTATAGGCTACAATAAACTAACTATTAATTAATTATTAATTAGTTAATTATTTCTCAAACCAAATCACACATTTGACATCAAAAGCAAAACTGACTGAAATGAAGTCAAACTATAACTTAAAAAACGGTTTCAAGTCAATCAAACGTCAATTTTAATATTTATAAAACAAAATTGAAACTGTAGACTAAATTGTAGCCCTTTTATATAGTTTCCAACACAAGTTAAATGTAGTCCCTTTTGTTTTTTGTTGCAGTAGTGAACGCGTCCACAAACGTGCACCTGTCCGAAGGTGCATTTAAAATGACAAAGCCTGAAACATTACTTATGACCTTTACGCACGATCATATTACTTTACATTGCAGCGATGACTCACACAGAGCAGAGGGCCTGCTTACCTCATGCAGTTCCCTGCGATCATTGCTTCCCAACTTGTCCACTATGCAGTTAAGGGGGACGTTTCTACTTTCGGTTATCTAGCTTTATGAAGGCAGATAAACACTCATACAGCTAGATAACCAAAGATAGCAACTACCTCCCGTCAACACTTTTTTTTTTAATGTGGAACATCTCATAAAGTTGACCTGATAAACGAAAACAGGGTTAATGCGCAATCAGTAAATTACACACCCTTTTTATCGACCTGTAAATAAAGTTAACAAGTCAAGTGTTGAATGGACTTCTGAGGTTCTCCAGGCCTCTAACTACCTCCCGTCAACACTTTTTTTTAATGTGGAACTCTCATAAAGTTGACCTGATAAACGAAAACAGGGTTAATGCGCAATCAGTAAATTACACACCCTTTTTATCGACCTGTAAATAAAGTTAACAAGTCAAGTGTTGAATGGACTTCTGAGGTTCTCCAGGCCTCTAGCACGTGGTGAAGACATAATCCACAATAGTCAAGGCCTGAAGTTGCGGTCTGGAGGCGTTTCAAATCGAGCCTTTGGATTTATTGTCAGGCTTTCCATTCATCTAAACGGGATTTTGTCCCTTCTGGTCACTAATAATCCTTAAAAAATGGACGATTATTAGGACTAACCATTTCATCTGGCTCGTTAGGCCCCAACAATCAGACAGTTATCACGCCTACATCACCATGCATCAATCATTTCATCTTCATCTCGTGCATTAGAATTCCGTAAACTGCAGTGGGTAAGGACTTTTAGCCAACAGTTTAATGTTTTTTAACAGTTTTCCTCCAAAATTATGCAATTGAGAAATAAGACCCAAATAGCTTATAAAGTTAATAATATGTAACTTTTATTTTACAGGGACGCATGCTAAATATATTTCAACGGTTCTGTTATTCATTTGAAACTATGCAGACGTTTCCTGACTTACTAAACCCACGTTTCCCTCACGTAAATATACGCCATTTAGTTCAATCTATTGTTCATTCCATTTGGTGTTATTTCTAAATTATACAAATGATTACGCTTTTTCATCAAGTATCTGCAAACTGTATTGTACTATAAAAGCTATTTATGGAAGCATGCATTAAGCAAAATGTCCGCAAATAGACTAAAATCAATTATTTATCAATATAATTCTATACAAGAGTAGTGCAATAAACATGCTTTACCAAATCGAATGCCACTAATTTCAAAAGCAAGTTATTAAAGGGCTAAAGCACTGCAAACATAGGCTACAAGTAGTGTACATAATCCAAAATGACTAAAAATGACTTCTTAGGTTATGTAGATACTATGTCGCCTATTCATATTACTGTTAAAGATACACACGCTACATATTTCAGGAAAATGTTCCAGACATTCCAGATGCACCTGCTGTGAGTGTACAAAGTACAGAGGGCCACATGCACTTACCACTCAACATGGCCTTGTCTGTCACATGGGGTCAGTTATAAGCAACCCACGTAAAATGTTAGCATCATATATGCATGCATTTTTGCAAATATGCATTTATTTATCATTTAAAGTCCACTTACAGACTACTAAGTTACTAAGAGTTATTGTGACCAAAAGAGTTCAGTGATTCAAGCTGCGCTACGAAATAACTGAGGTAATTTAAAAAGCTTACTTTTAACAATTGACGCGCGTATTCCTCTCTGTCAGAAAGTAAGCTACGAGTGGCCGTGTGTCGGGGACAAATAGAGGTTCCCGTGCGTCTCGCGTTAAAGAACATGACGCTAAAATCTCTGAGCAGCGCAGTCGCATCTAGTCAAAAGCCCAACTCTTCAGCGATGCGTTTTCCATTCAGAACTCGCAGTCCTTGAGTATTCAGCCATCCAGAGAACCGAACAGGCAGTTTAATTTCCAAGATGGGGAATTCCTCCCTTGAAAAGCATGCTTACAGTGTTCGTGCGTGGACGTGAGAGGAGATACGAGGTTTACTTTATGAAAGCACGCACGCATGCGATGCTCTCGTTCCCTTCCCTCCTGCGCTCTGTGCATGCGATGCTCTCTCTCTCCGGCTTGAGAGAGTCTAGTTTCTGACTAAATGCATCCTCCTCTGGCAGTGCTCTCCTGCAGTGACGTCACTCCAGCAGCAGGCTGCAGAGCGGCCAATCACAATCCCACGCGCGCGCTCCCTTTCTCCCCATTCTTTCTCTCTCTTGCGCGCGCGCTTTCCGTGGTTTGCTGAGTGCGCGCGCGACAGAGCGTCGCCTATAGGTTGCAGAGTTCCTATAGTAGCCTAAAATGAATCAAGTTATGCCTATAGTTTCAGCATTGCCCTAAAATATTTGCCTTTTAAAATGATTAGGTTTATTCAATTCAAAATACAAAACTTTGTAGAAGTAAGTCGGCTTTATCATTTCAATTTTGTACATACCTTTACATGGTAAATCACTATACGTTTATCTCTCTGTGACTGCAATCTCTGTTGTCATGTGTCTATTTGTCCCCAAGTACAGAAGCTTGCATCCTTGTAATCCAATAAAGCCGATTAAGGGTCTAAATGGAAAATACAAAATACAAGAGTTTAAGAACAACCGTGTTTTAAAAATGTATATGATAACCATATACAGTCTTTCTTAGGAGAAAATTATATTTAAAAAGATGTAAATATTTCCCGTTTCCTATTTGTTCTCTGTCTCTGATGACCACTGTTGCATTAGGAATTATTATTATTAAAACACGTAACAGAATACATCAAAAAAAGGTACACTTCTTATTGTTGCATTTGCTACAACTACAGCACATTACAAATTGCTGACAGCAGATATTTTAGCTCCTGCATTGCTACAGACAGTTTATTTCGGCTTGATCCAATATTTGCCTGAATTCAAACTTTATGGCTTGTATTATAGGCTATATAATATATACGTTTTTAACTTTAAAAGAAACACAGGAAGACAGAAATAAACCTTGTAAAGCGCGAACTAGTTGGAAACTGGTCAGCTATATAAATAACTCATTCTTGAAATCCGCTGCAACTGCTTGCTCTGATTGGCCAACTCGTCTATATTCCCTTTTCGCATTGGAATAAAAATAGCATTTTGGACAAATATTTCAAACACGCACTCTCCACTTTTCTCCACCTCAGTTGGTTTTAAATTATTTATTTACTGTCAGTATGCAATAGCTATATATAACATTATTAACACCAATTCCTACTGTAGCCTGACTATTATTATTATTATTACTTGTTCTTGCATGACTATTAAGCTACAATATCGTTTTTTAAAAGTGAATTTTAAATCAATCTTCTCTTTATAATGCTGCCTCTTAGAATAACTTTACAACACGGATAGTCGCGCGCGCACATATTTAGATGAGTGTCAATTTATAATCAATCAGCAAAGAAAAAATGCATGTGTGCATCTTAGATGTCTGAAGGCAGAATGTCCATTCCGACAGAGAATTCAGATGGAGACTAAATGCTGTTCTTTTCTTGACCCCTACACGCGTAATGAAGTGTGTTTAAGTGAAGAGTCCGCTCTCTTCATTCTCAAAGGTCACTTGGGTTAAATGAATGTCCTGTGACTGTTGACCGAGGTGTCTCTTGCCCTGCGGCTGTGAGTGTTTGGACATACCTCTGTTACAGCACTTACTGTGTTGATTTGAACCTGTAGAGCACTAAACGGGACTTTAACCAGACAATGAACCTTAAGTAACAGCAGAAGAGCGCATTTCTGGCTCAAGGGGGTTTTGTAGACTGGCATCATAAAATTGCAAACAGGATTAATGGGAACTAAAAATACCCGTTCTCTGATTATCATTCAGTTTGACACCAGTCTCATGTTACATTAGCCTTCACAACTAATTGGTCAACTGATTACATCTTAATATTTAAGATTTGTGTGGTAGGCTACTGCTCGTAGAGACGTTTTGCTATCCTTAATGCTGTAGCTAATTGCATATATTAGCATATGATATGTGGACACTAATGTTATCCTGTAGCCTAAGTTTCCCCAACGCTTAATTTTGGACATGTAACGTGCAAACTACAGTCTTGACATCAGCGACCCCTGGCGGTGAGTGTTCTCTTTCTCAAGCGCGTATCAGGTGCTTTAAACAATTACGCTTCTGTACAAATAAATATAAATAGTTTCAAAGAATTATAAATGATTTCAAAGAATTTATAAAATGGTGTAAGTTTTATGTAGACCGTCCTATTCTCCATGTTTTTTGAAGTCTAAAGGTATAGAATGAAAGTCTCAAGATACTCGCTGCAGCGTTGAATTGCCACTAACTGGTTACCATTATTATCTATTTAAAATGCAGAGATAATTTGTCACCCTTCTGTAACAAATAGGCTACAGAAACCGCACAATTGCATTTGATCATCTAGACGGAGAAAACGATAGGCTACATTTGATTTAATACAATCGAAAGTAATTTTACAAGTGCGTATTCTACAGCCATATAGATTATATGTAGTTAGCCTATATATCGCTGGGTTTAATTGTTACTATTTCTGTTCAAATTTGAACGTCAAATGATTTGTTTATTTAGACATCGCAGCAGTCACTAATAATCACTAATTTGCTATCATGTAGGCAATTTGTTTGTAAAAAAGTAGCTATTTAACTGTATTCACTCTCTATCATAAATTAACAAAAGAAACTGAAACAAAGAGCCAAAGACAACTACACTCTTAAAAATAAAGGTGCTTCACGATGCCATAGAAGAACCTTTTGGTCTAAATGGTTCCATAAAGAACCTTTAACATCTGAAGAACCTTTCTGTTTGACAAAAGGTTCTTTGTGGCGAAAGAAGGTTCTTCAGATTATAAAAAGCTATGGTTCTTTAAAGAACCTTTGACTGAATGGTTCTTTGTGGAACCAAAAATGGTTCTTCTATGGCATCGCTGTGAAGAACCTTTTGAAGCACCTTTATTTTTAAGAGTGTGCAATCTACAGTTTCTCTTTGTTTTTGCCATTAAAGGTTGATTTTACACATTTGCAAACGGTTTCGTTGTCATTCATTTATACCTCGCCTATATTTACTCGTGCGTTATCATACTATTCTCCATGATGACAGATTTGCATGTGCTCGTTTATGACCAAATCAAGAAAAATCCAACTTTTAGCTGATTTTAGGTCTAAGATGATCGTTAATCATGCATTCGCTAAAGCATGCTAATGTAAGTGGATTAATTAGTAATAGCCTAATAAAAAAATACATAGGCCTAAACAGCCTCATAATATTTTTCAATTTACCAAAAACTTTTTATCA